AGAGCGAGAGATCGAGAGGGAGAGAGAGAAAAGAGAGGGAGAGGGAGAGAGAAAAGAGAGGGAGAGTGAAAAGAGAGTGAGAGGGAGAGAGAGAGAGAACAAGAGAGAGAGAGAGCGATAGATAGAGAGAAAGCAAGAGCGACTAGAAAGAGGGAGAGTGAGAGAGCGAAAGAGAGAGGGAGGGGTAGAGAGAGAGAGTGAGTGAAAAGGGAGAGATATGGAAAAGAAAGAGGGAGAATGAAAATGAGATTATATGTGAAAAGTAAATCCACTTATGCGCGCTTGTCATTTAATGGCCAACATTCGGCACCATAAAACATTGTATGTGTCACCATCTTATCCATTGCAGTGAGGATGCTAAGTATTAAAACTGAGTATAATATTCCCCGTGAGTGTTTTAATGACGTTATTGGTCTTATGAAGGAAACTAATCCAGCTGGAAATTTAATTCCCTCAGACTTGTATCGAACAAAGAAATTAGTATCCAAGCTGGGTCTCACTGCTACAAAGATTGATTGTTCTATCAATGGATGTATGTTATACTATAAGGATGATGCAGCAGAAGTTATTTGTCACACCTGCAATGCTCCTCGGTTTAAGCAAAACTCGGGAAAACAACGTCATCCAAAGAAAGATGTGCCATATTCCCGTTTGTTTTATTTACCAATCATTCCAAGACTTCAGCGACTCTATGCATCAATGAGTTCAGCAAGCCATATGAGATGGCATAAGGAGAAAATAGCAAAAAGTGATGTTCTTTCTCATCCATCAGATGCTGAAGCGTGGAAACATTTTGATCGAGTGCATCCTTCATTTACTGCTGAACCCCGCAACATAAGATTGGGATTATATACTGATGGTTTTACTCCTTATAGTCAAACAGCTACACCGTATTCTTGTTGGCCAGTTATATTAACACCATACAACCTTCCACCAGAGATGTGTATGACTACTCCGTTCATGTTCTTAACTCTGATTATACCTGGACCACATAATCCGAAAGCAAAGATTGATATCTTTTTGCAACCATTAATTGATGACCTCAAATTATTATGAGAAGAAGGAGTGCTCACATATGACATATCAACAAAACAAAATTTTCTCCTTCGAGCTGCTTTACTGTGGACTATCGGTGATTTTCCAGCTTATGGTATGTTGTCTGGTTGGAGCACAGCAGGGAAATTAGCATGTCCTTACTGCATGGAGAACAGTAAAGCTTTCACATTAAAACATGGAGGGAAAAATACTTGGTTTGATTGTCATCGTATGTTTCTACATGCTAATCATCAGTTTCGAAGAAATAAAGAAGCATTTGTTAAAAACAGAATTGAGCGATCACCTCCTCCACCCAGATTAAGTGGTGATGATATACTACAGAGACTTTCCGACATTCCAACAATTATTGATTATCCAATGCTATCAGAATCTAAATTTCCGGGTTATGGTGTTCAACATAATTGGATTAAAAAAAGTATTTTCTGGACATTACCTTATTGGAGAACTAATTTGATAAGACATAACTTGGATGTTATGCACATTGAGAAGAACTTTCTGGATAATATTTTTAATACAATTATGGATGTTAAAGGCAAGAGTAAAGATAATGTCAAAGCAAGGATGGACATTAAAGAGTTTTGTCGGCGAAAAAATTTGGAGTTAGTAACAACAACTGACGGTAAAGTAATGAAGCCCAAAGCTCCTTACTCGTTCACGTTAGAGCAAAAAAGAATGATATGTCAGTGGTTTAAAGGTTTAAAAATGCCGGATGGTTATGGATCAAATATAAGCCGATGTGTTGACTTGAAATCTGCAAGGTTATTTGGACTCAAAAGTCATGATTGTCACATAATTATGGAGGTTCTTCTTCCGATCATAGTCAGTATGTTACCCGATTACATATCAAATCCGTTGATTGAGCTTAGCATTTTCTTCAAAGATTTATGTTCATCTAAACTAAGTGAAAATGCTTTACGGAGGTACGAGGATAACATACCAATCATCCTATGCAAGTTAGAGAAGATATTTCCCCCGGGTTTTTTTGATTCTATGGAACATCTTCCAGTCCATCTACCTTACGAAGCTAGAGTTGGTGGACCTGTACAATATCGTTGGATGTATCCTTTCGAAAGGTAAATGTGTTAAGATTATTATTAATTACTCAAATTTTTTGAATCAGTTAAGATAACATATTTTTATTTGATTAATAGATATCTGAACAAGTTGAAGAAATATGTTAAGAATAAAGCACGACCAGAAGGATCGATATGTGAAGCATATTTATCTCAAGAAACAACACACTTTTGCTCCTACTATTTCGAGCCACATGTAAGGAGTACAAGAACAAAAATGGGTCGTAACATGGACTTCGATGTAGAAGAACAATCACATGCTACACTAACAGTATTTAGAAGGCAAGGAAAGCCTAGTGGCAAATGTGTTGAAAGATATCTCAACGATTTAGAAATAAATACAGCGAATTTGTATGTACTACTGAACTGTGAAGAAGTTGAGCCAATCTTAGAGTAAGTTCTTACATAATGTTAATAATAAATTAGTAATGTTTATTTAAAATACTTATGTATTATTTGTCACCAGGTATTTCGTAAGCAATTTGCCTTTGACAGATTCAAGGGAAATTGAGCAAGCTGTTGCAAATGAATTTCCAACTTGGTTCAGATCATATGTGAGTACATTTTTTTTTATAAATTTAAATCTTATTTATTATCAAAATTACTAAAATTTGAAAATATTTTTAGGTACAAAATCCTGATAACAAATGTTTCGATAAAGGTTTGCAAGCATTAGCATGGGGTCCAATGCGAAAAGTAAAAACTTGGCCAATATATATAGTGAATGGTTTCAGATTTCATACCAAATCGTGGAGTGAAGGAAGAAAAACTGAAAATTGTGGAGTATGTGTTAGAGGAAACACTCATGAAGAAGATGAGTGTGATTATTATGGTATTTTGAATGAGGTCCTTGACTTGGAGTACCCAGGGGAAGATGAGAACTTTGTATGCTTATTTAACTGTCAGTGGTATGATCCAGTACAAAATAGAGGCACAAGGGTTCATCCTGTGTATGGTTTAGTAGATGTTAAACATAGTAGAAGATACGGAAAGTTTGATCCATTTGTGTTAGCAAGCCAAGCTATTCAAGTTTATTTCAGCAAATATCCCAGTGGTCGCAGAGACAAACAAGATTGGCTAGCTGTCATAAAAACAAAAGCACGGGGAATAATTGATCAACAATACATTGTAGCAACTGCACATCAAGAGGATGAGATGTCAAGTTATATGCCTGTTGAAATTGAGGATATGCCAACTACAACCTCTACTATTGAAATGGAGTTAGAAGATGTCAATAGTTCAACTAGTTCAGAAGAAGAAGAGAACCAGGATGAAAGTGAAGATACTCTTGAGAGTGATGAAAATAGTTCTGATGATTCTGATTAGTTTCTGTAATTTAGAATTGTAGAATTTAAATGTTATGTAATTTTTATTACTGCTTAGAAATGATATTGTATTTTGCCACCTTGTCTTTTATTAACTGCTTCATTAACTGCTTTATTAACTGCTTCTCGTAATTCATTACCTGCTTCATTAACTGCTTCATTAACTGTTTTATTAACTGCTTTATTAACTGCTTTATTAACTGTTTTATTAACTGTTTCTTAATTATTTTTGTTTTAATATTGCAGATGGCTTCAGGCGACGATCCTCCTCGTAAATCATTTGCCTCAAAGTTCCGCCGGAAGAAGATTACGACTAGCAGAGTACCCACACAGACTGAGGTAGGTGAGGGGCCTTCAGTTGCACCAGATCTACCTACACCACCACCGCCACCACCTGCCAGGAGCCAGCAGCCTTCACCAGAGCAGGGTCAGGGACAGTTAGATCCACCTCTTGTTGCACCTCCATACTTCCCTGGCCACTTCCCTCCCAGCTCGACGAGTCCTCGCTTCCCCTCTCCAGATCAGACACATGCTTCTCCATTCTATCCATATTACCCCCCACCATCATCACAGGCTGCTGGTCCATCCACTGGTCCTCACCCTCCTTACCCTTACCCATATTACTACCCCTATCCGGTGCAGCATGAACAGGGTGGACCATCACGACCACCAGAGGTTGGCGCTACCGATCCTGCAACAGCAACAGATAAGCGTCAATACATCGAGCCTGACGGCGATAAGTAAGTTCAATTTAAGTTATTCAGTTGTTTTTATTTTGATATATTACATGTTATTGATAAACAAAGTCACTTGCAGCTTCAATCCTTCAAGGCCACCTATACATATGATCCGGGATATAATAAAGAATAAGTATGATGCTCCTTACTTATCCTGGAAGAAGATCCCAAAGCCTGTTAGAGATATGTGGTTTGGAGAATTTCAGGTATATTTTTTTTTGTATGATTTCAAATATATGATTTAATTTGTACTAATCTTTTTGATATTGCCTAAATTTGTACAGAAAGAATTTAGGTGGTTGCCTGAGTACAGCACGAGGATCAGATCTAATTTTGAGAGGAGAGGAGCGACCCGTCTCAGAGACATGTTCACGGACATTAGAAAGTCCGGGCAGAGGCCTAATTGGATTGGAGAGGGCGTTTGGGCAGATTTGAGTAGTGCTTGGGCTACCCCGGAGTTTATAAAAATGAGAGAGCAGAATAAACAGAACAGAGCCTCTGACTGCGGCGGTTTAGGAAGCTCTCTTCATACTGGTGGATCTGTACCTCATACAGAACATAGGCGGCGACTGGTAAGTGTTTTGAATTGGTTTATTACATATATTTATGTTAGTATAACTAAGCATCAAATTTTCAGAAAGCGCACCTGGGTCGGGAGCCAACACCATTGGAGCTGCATACAAGAACTCATCAACATCAAGCTGACCAGAAGTGGGTTGATGAGAAATCTAAGAAGGCTCATGTGAGTAAAATTTTTTGGATTTTTAGAATAAAAATTTATTTTAATAAAACTATTTGTAACTTGCAGGATGATTTCTTACGAGTTAGAGAAAGTAGGCAGTCCACTGGCGAGGGATCATCTTCTGGACAGTTCATCCACCTCTGCATTTCATGATCCAAGTGGAGCTGAAGAATGTGTAAGCGAGAGAGTTGCAGCGCTTACTAGAGAGATTGAAGAGATGAAAAGGGTCCAATCTAGAGAGATTGAAGAAATGAGAAAAGTTCAGAATGAAATGCAAGCAGAGTTGCAATCCTACAGAGCTGAAAAACAGAGGAAAAAGGACCAACAGGAGCAGCCATCTGCAGACAGTGAGGATACAGATGAGGATTAGATATTTTTTATGTTTGATGATTGTATTAATTAGAACTTGTGAACTTGTGATTGTAACCTTATCATGAACTTACTTCTGAGCTTGTGATTGTAATCTTATGATGAGCTTGTGATTGTATTTATAATTTATGGTTCTGATGAATATAGTGGCGTGTTGCCCAAAATATCTTGCTCTTTTTGCAGGTTTAGACTTGTAACATCTAGACATCAATAGTGAAAGGATTCATCTGACATTCTTATTTTTCTCGTTCATATCAATACAAACATCCATAAATGATAATTACATTAAAGCAAATAAATACATCAAAATACTATACTTCACATTTTGGCATTTCATATACAATCAAAAGGAGCGTCCAAAAGAACATATACAATAGCCACTCGGGCTACAAAATAAAAGCCTGAACCAAAAGCTACAAAAACTATACTAGTGACTGAAAGAAGCTTCACGCGGGAGGCTCTGCACCTGAAATCATTAACCACGTATAATGAGCTTAAATAGCCCAGCAGGTCACCAAAGCCTACAACTGAAATCAAAGCACAGTACGAAAGTAATATGCGTGTAAATCAAATCAAGTCAATATCAATCATTGCACATGATCAATGAGTCGATGCAGATACGGAAATCAAATCAATACATAAACAATAGAATCCAAAATCATCAGTAAGAGAATCAGTGAACAGTACGAAAGCTCATAAAGGTCAATAAATCAGTACGTGCATTAAATCTCTATAGTAGTCGTCTTATCTATCACATCAGTTTATCAATATAGTAAAGTCTTCAATATCACTCACTCAACAATTCATATGCAATGTAGTAATCGATATAACGTGTTCAGTAAATCACATATCACTTGTTCAGTATCTCAATCAGTAGCAGCAGCGTATGTATTAATATCCATAGTGACGACATGAACGATTATGCTATAACAGTGAAATCGAATCAATCAGATCAGTAAAATAATTAATTCCGGTCAATAATATCAATCGGTATAAAATCACATAAAATAATCAAATCAATACATCGTAAGAACAGATGAAACCAAATCAATAAAATCATCAAATACAATTGAAATCAATCAATGAAATAAAATCATATAAAAATTAATAAATCAATAATCACATGCTCGGTGTATCACATGTATCTTGTTCGGTGTATCACATGTATCTTGTTCGGTGAATCACGTGCTATAAGATCGGTACAATGAATCAATGTATCAGTGGTATTGGTATCGGTATCTGTATCCATGAATCAATACGATATCCATATCAGTATCAGTATCAATGTCCAGTGACATGTACCGTATGCAATATCAACAAAATCGTATAGTAACAGTAAACCCGTAAATCCGTTAAATCCATTCAATATCGATAAATCAATTCTATATCAATAAATCAATCGATCTCAATAAATCAGTAAATCCATCAAGAAATCATAAGAACAGTTCTGTACGCATGCAATACAATACAGTTGTCTTACTTAACAAGTACAATCACTGGCTATTAAGGCGTTTTTCAATGTTAGTATCGATGTTAGTAATCCGTTGGCTCGGTGAAAAGAGTCGTCACTCTTGCCCGTCGGCACGGTAATCTCCTTATAACTCCCTTCGGTAATCACGTGATCAGTAGAGGATATCGCCAAATCCTTTTTTAAAAGGAAAGCCCGTCGGCCCACCATCCTGTACAGTTATCATCTCCAACCAACGGTTCAACCAGTCTTTACTTCTCTTTCAGAAACGATAACAATAATTCAATCATATATCCACATTCGTATGCATATTCAATCATTCAAATCATCAATTCAGAAAATCAGAAGTCGTACGAGAAATCGGCGGCATAACGGCAGTATACGGAATGTATATAGAAATCACATATTCAGAAATTTATCAAATTACCAGAAATCGAATCAAACAACGTTTCAAAGCTTTACTTGTAATGAAACAACATTTTTCAACAACCAGATAATTTTCTATTCGATAAAAATCGCACAGAACTCAAAATAAATGGTAGAAACTTTACAGAAAATACTCAAATCGTGCAGAATAAGCATTTCAGGAACATATCAAAAGTTGTGCGGTAAAACTTTTGTCAATACAAAATTATATGCGTTTTTCGGTAACGGAAACACAAATCTGAGCACAGAAATACCAAAACTCGAAATCTTAGAAAAAAAAATAGGATTCGGAGTCCTTACTGCAAGACAAACAAATCTTCTACAACGACGACGGATGAAAATCGCTCCGCGGCATCTGAAACAAAGCTTTTCCTTTCTTTCCTTCTCTTTCTCTCTCTCCTGAATTCTCTTTCTCTCTCTTCAGATGAATCCAAAATATCTCTATCGGATATTTATTAACACTGATTGTCCCGGACGATCCAAAATTCGTCCCGGGACGATTTGCCCTCTGGCAGAATTTCGTCCAGACGAAATTAAATAGCATCTAGACGACTTGCTCTCTGGACAAATTTCGTCCAGACGGATCGTCCCGATCCTTCCAGGTTCGTACAGACGAAATTGACAGATTCTTCACAATTTTCTTCAGTTCGTCCCGTACTAAAGCCAGTTCGTACGGACTAACTGCACTAAAAAAATCAACTTTGGAGGGGGTTTTACAAGACTTTAGGGTGAACCTCCCTCAAATAGAGGGGATGCTGTCTTTTTTTTTTTTTCAGGTGCTACAGGTTTCCGACGGCCAACCGGCGATTTGGCCGCCGGAAACTACGATACCGGACGGCCAATGCCAAGCCGCCGGTAATAGCATTACACAGCCGGTAATAAACTGGCGGTTACCGATGGCCATCGGCGGTGTTACGGTGGACGTCTGGCGGTGTACACCGTCGGTAATACCGACGGTTCCAACCGCCGGTAAATGAACCGGCGGTCTACCGGCGGTTTAAGAAACAAACGACACCCACTTTAACCGCCAGAAGACCGTCGGTAATATGACCGCCAGTCAGCCGTCGGTCAGATAACTGGCGGCGTAACGGCCGGAAAACTGCCGGTTCCGAATCCGGTTGTCACAGGAGGTATGAGCCGCCGGAAAACCGCCGCCAACATAAACCGCCGGTACATGTTTCCTATGCGATTTTTCCCGGCGGCTGGAATACCGCCGCAAAGCCACCGGTAATCCATAAAACCGCCGGTTAATCTATAGTAACCGCCGGAAAAAACCGTCGGATTTTGGCATTTTTCCTGTAGTGAAAATCATTAGCATACCTTACAAAAGAATTCAACTTCATAATCTATAAAGCTCTCTTCTCTATTTTTCTCTCCTCCTCCTCTCTTGTTTCTATTGTGCCATCTCTAGCAAGGTAAGGGTTGGGGGAGAGGGTTATGTAAATTGAAAATTGGATTTGATCATTTTTGGCATAGTGCCGTGTGCGGTGCTTACGTTTTCAACGCGCAGCGGTCCATCAGAATATTCTAAATTCTCCCCAATTTCTCTAAACTAAGAGCTTATAGCCACGACAGCAACCCTCAGCGCCGCAGCACTCCCTCAATTCTTGCAACAATATAGAGAGGATATCGCCACGAGACCGTCACTGTGAGCATCGTGGAACTCATCGAGGCACTTGACTTCCTATTTTGCTCCTTTCTTTCGTATCTATATTCATTTGGATTTCAATTTGACCCATAATAAATAAAATTTTCAAGAATGAAAATCAAGATAAGATAGGGATCATTAAGTCTAATCAACCAAATCCCAAAATCGAGGGTATGTTCACTATAGATGAATGTTTCTAATAAAAGGATAACTTACACTTAAAATGTTAATTTTTTAATATTTTTAATTTTTAAGCTCAAATTTTTATTAAATATTTGAACATGGTAGGAATCGACAGTCATAGAGGAAATGTAAGGAACGAAGCTCATCCTAAATGATTAATTCAGAGACATTATGATTTACTAGTAATAGGTCCAGACATTCATGTGAATGTATATTCAAGATGTGTTGTTAACCAAATTAAATTTCTAATCAATAAACATGATAGTTGGAGAGCAACTCAAAATAGTGATGCATCACTTCAGTGTTTTCATAAAGATGAAATTATTTATTTATATAAGATTTTAATGGGTGGAATTGAGTTGAGCTACATTGATTGCAACCAAATAATTGTGTTCAAGTCAAAATGGTTTAATCTTGAACATAAAAAAGCCATATATAATTGATGATGACTTCACTACTACAAATGTCAGTAGAACATGGTATGATAAACTACTATAAATGTTAGACTTTGTATGGCCATGATCATTTTGTATTAGTAGATAAAGCAATAAATTTAATGTTCAAGAGATAAAGTTAAATGTGATTGGAATATTATATAAAAGTACAAAACATATATTTATTTGATCCCACTCTTATAAATTATTTAAAAAACATACATCTAATACCTACAATCAAGATGAAAATAATACTTATCAACTAGTTGAGCAAAAGGATGTGAACTTTTAAGATGATTTTGGTGAGGGTGGCCCTCTATATTAGGAAGATGTATAGCCTAAAAAATTTTAGATTATGCTCACAATGTGTCTTTAATTACAACAAATTCTTACTAATAATTTTATATGATATGAAGAGATGGATGAAGAATATGATGAAACATTAATTAAATATTATAGTGAAAATGAAGTTCTTTTTTCTTCTTATTTGTTAATTTGATATTTTTAATCTTACCATTTTTAAAATATTTAATTTATTTCATTAAGTCATGGCTCAAAAAATTGGATAAGTTCTATAAGAACACAAAATACTTTTACTATGTTTGCACCATTTACAATTAATAAT